GACGACGACTGCTGTACTACTACTACTACTACTACTACTACTACTGCTACTACTACTACTACGACGACGACTGCTGTACTACTACTACTACTACTACTACTACTACTACTAGTACTACTACTACTACTTCTTACTACACTACAACTACTTACTACTTACTACTTACTACTTACTACTTACTACTTACTACTTACTACTAACCACTAACTACTAACTATTAACTACTAACTACTAACTGCCAAGCCAAGCCATGTAAAATGAGAACCCCATTCAATTGTTTAATAGGAAAACTCCATCCAATAGGAAAGCCGTATCGAACGGAAAGCCCTATCCTGTGGGAAACCCCTATCTAGTGGGAAAACAATATCCAATAGAAAAACTTTATCTAACAGGAAAACCCTATCTAATAGTAGAGCCCCATCTAATGGGAACGCTCATTTTATAGGACAGCCCCACAAAATAGGAAAATCCTATCGAGTAGGAAAACCCTATCCAATGGAAAAACCCTATCTAATAGGAAAATCCGATCTTATGGGAAACCCCTATCTAATTGGAAAACCAAATGTAATGGGAAAGACTTGTTTAAGACCGTGACGACTGGGTTTCAAGCTGGCAACAACGGTGTCCACGAACCAGCATTGAAACGGCTTTGGGGCGCGGACAGAGAGAAGAGAAGGGGTCACAGGAGCAGGCTGGCGCCTAGTATTTCTCCCGCTAGCACTAATACTCCTCCTCCTCCTACTACTACTACTACTACTACTACTTCTGCTGCTATTGATGGCGACTGGTACTACTACTGCTACTACTACCACCACTACTGCTACTGCTGCTGCCACTACTGCTACCCCCACAACGACTATCACTGCTGCTGCTACTGCTGCCTGCTGCAGCCTACTGCTACAACTACCCCCAGTGCTACTGCAATTGTTACTATTGCCATCTCGCTCTTAGTGCCATCACTCTCGCAGCAAGCATTAAAGTTTAATGGCACCGTAGTCAACACTGTCGTCCCAGCAGTGGTACTACTATGTTATAACGGTGTTGCTGCCAGTGGTGATAGCGGTGATGACAACGACGAAGATGTCTGCTTGTTTATCGTTTGTTTGTTTTTCTGCTTTTTCGTTTGTTGTTTGTTGTTGTTGAACCAACTGTTCGGACTGAAGCTCTGCTATTGCTTGTTTGTTTGCTTGTGTGCTTGTTTGTTTGTTTGTTTGTTTGTTTGTTTATGCGTGGACTTTTGTAGTCGAAGGTACGATGACACGCTCTGCTTGGACTACGACTATGATGGAAACCACAATGCTGCCATGGCCGAGTGCCAACAGGGCAAGAAGAGCCAGCGGTGGCAATGGGATGTCCAGGTTTCCAATGGCAAGCTGATGACAAGGCTGGGGTTTAGGGTTATGTTGCAAAAGCGGTTCTGTTTTCAGGCTTGCTGTCGTCGTTGTGGCTGCTTGACTCGGCACCATTGCGGTCCATATTGCATCAATCTTTCCTTGTCGAGATGACATCTGCAGCCTCTTCAGTCTCATCATTTTCATCGCCCTGGTCTTCATCATCTTCTTCACCTTCATCATCATCTTCTTCACCTTCTTCATCATCATCTTCTTCACCTTCATCTTCATCTTCATCTTCATCTTCATCTTCATCTTCATCTTCATCTTCATCTTCATCTTCATCTTCATCTTCATCTTCATCTTCATCGGCTTCATCTTCATCTTCATCTTGATCTTCATCTTCATCTTCATCGTCATCATAATCATCATCATCATCATCATCATATTCTTCTTCGTCTTATTCATTTTCATTTTCATCTTCTTCTTCATCAAGCCAAGGCGGGACTCCAAGTGCTTGGACTACAACCCGTCGAATGATCGCGTGTACATGCACGGCTGCCACGACAAGGCGAATCAGATGTGGTACTTCGAGGGCAAGGCCTTGAAAACCAAGTACAGCAACAAGTGCCTCGATTACTCCGACGAATATGTGAGCGACGAACATGGCAAGTGGTGGGGCAACATCTTCATGGGTGATTGCGATGGCTCGCCGAGCCAGCAGTGGTATTTTGATGGTGAGGCACTCAAAACGGTGTCTGCCAACAACTGCTTGGACTATCACGTTGAGGAGTCGACGGTTTTCATGTACCAATGTCATGGAGGAAACAACCAGAAATGGCACTGCTTCTTCGACGGATGTCCAAAGTCCAAATGACATCCTTGCCGAGAGCTTTGAGGCAAAGGTCCTCGACCAGTTCATGGTCATTAATTAGCCGCCCTCCGAACAGGGGGGGCCTGTCCGCAGTCACATCCTTTGGCCTCTAACGTTGCTGGTGCTGCTGTGAAAGTCTTCGTATCATTGCTAATGCTTATTTTCAGGACCGGTTGTAAGTTGTGTGATGGTTCGTGTTGCTTGTAAAACTGCCGTGTTGTGAAAAATATTACCCTTCGTATCATTTTCATCGAGCGTCCCAGCGAACAGCTGGCTGACTATGCAAATCGCTCTCCAGGCCGTAAAGGCCGCAGCACGCCACAGGCCTCAACCTGATTCCAGGCTAATGCAATCAGAAATGTTTGGGGGTGCAGGGTTCATGCGGGCTTGTTCGCAACTCAACACCCGCATGCGAAGTGATATTTTCTGTGCTAGCTGCTAGATCCTCGGCCGCAGGAGGGTAAGTTCGTTTTTCGGACCACAGTGTGGTTCGCATAGGCTGACGTGTGCTGTCACCCAGTTTCCAGCGATGAGGGGTTCTGGGGTTTATGGTTTAGCCATGTGGTTTACCCCTGTTAGTAGTGCTTTCTGTTAGTGCCTTATTAGTGCCTTTAACATATTTCTGTTTGGAAGTGCTGTTGGGAGTGTTTGGTTGTGTGGATCTGGGTACCAGTGTCTTCCCATCTGTACTAGAGTGTCCCTTCTTCTTCGTCATCATCATCAGCTTTGCTCTTACCTCGCTCTTGCCATGAAGGAGGTCGGTACTGCTTCAAAGAGGGGCTGTTCACTGGGCAGCTGATGCATACATAGTGAAGCTGCAGCAAACCTTAGCCACAACAGCTACCCTAATAGAATTCCACAGGGTGTAGGGTAGATCCTACAAGCATTATGGAGGCGGATTGCGTGACTTGCATTCAAGTTTGGAACTTGAGAATCTCCCAGCACATGTGTGAACCCCGAAGAATGTTTCGAGGCAGCTGCCACGAAATCGAGTCGAACAGGGTTGACATTCATTTCCGAGGTGCATTCGTCCGCAGCTGTTGCAGCTCGAAATGGCATGGAAGGGGAAAGGAGCAGAATATCAGCACCTCAATCCCAAGGTTGGTGCTTGGAAGCCTGTGCCAGTCAGCTTTAGCGTCCAGCATCATCTGGGGAGGGCTTCGAAGTACAAGTTTACGCCTGAGTGTGGCATTCACGCCGTTGTGCGCCTGCACCTGCGTCTGCGAGGTGCAGACCAGGGTTTGTTGAAGTATATCGAGGAGAGGTAAGAAATCAGTTTCAGTTTTGAGTCCAGACTCGAGACGCGATCCGGAGTCATGTTGATGAGCATTGGCTGGGTCTTTGCTTGTCTGATTTCCGGGTTAGCACAAACCCTGAACCACACCCTAAGCCCTAACCACCTGCTAGCATCAAGGGCCACAGCCTTCCGGCCTTGGTGTGAATTTGGGATCTAAGCCTTCGTAGACCTTCGACCCAGACCCCAAACCCTCAGACCCAAGCCCCAAACCCTAAACCTTAGCCTAACAAAACCAGCTTCGACGTTTCTAAACACCAGCTGGGTGCTTTCCTTATTGCATTTTGAGGTGTGCAGTTCCGATTTCGCAGTAAGCTTTCTGTTTAGATTAGAGTTTCTGGGTAGTTTGATCTACATGGCTGCAGGGTTTTCGACTGCAGAATTCACATAAGGTCCTGGGTGACCCACATGAACCCGACTTTGAAGATTTAGGTGTCGCGACTTTCGGAAAGGTTGGGTTTTTGCATGTCTGGATGGGGTTCTACGCAGTGGTACTAAATGCATCACTTCTCTAAGGTCATGGCAGGCCGCTGGCTCTGCGCTGCTTTGCCGGCTGTGCTTCTTCTAAAGGCGCTCTTGTCTGCATGGTTCTCGGATTTCCGGATTCAAGCTTAGAGCTCCGGACGTTGAAACTTACGCTCCCTAAACTTTCAAGCTGGGTTGTTGGGTGTAGCCCTAAACCCTAAACAGTTGCAGGGTGCTTAACCGTGTCGAGGGCAAGGATGTTGGAGAACCAGAGCATCAGGGCTGAGATGCACCGGAAAGTCTCCGAGGAAAAAACTCCGACAGAGCCCGAAACACGGGATGCCCAGATTCAACATGCCAGAAACCCTGGCTCGAAACCCCAAACCCTAAATCCTAGCCCAACTGCTAGAGCATCTCGGGTTTAGGGTAGGTTTTGTGGGTTTGGGTTTAGGGTCCGGGACTCGGGTATGGCCTAAAGCTATCCCTAAACTCCTACACCGAAGGCCGAGTCAAACAAACCTTGACTAGTATAGACAGTATAGAGGTCTGAACAGTTAGTAACAGTATCCCCTCAGATTCCGGTATAGTTGTACTATAGCATACCTCCCAAGCCCCAGTCTGATTACTAAGACCACAGAATCATCAAGAACCGCAAGGAACCCAGTTCTAACTCTTAAGCCCGCCGAGTACGTCCTAAACCCCCGAGCCTCGAGCCCTGGAGAGATTGGCAGGGCTGCGATCATTCGGATCACGGGAGCAAGGCCCGCTCGGGTGTAGGGTTGAGGGGTTTCGACTCGACGTTTAGATCTTAGGTTGGGGGGTGAGTGAGGCACTGCTACATGTGTGGCAATGATCACTATTCGAAGAAATCATTGTTCCGTACTCTTCCGAACTAATGATTTCGTCTGCGATGATGATAAAGCATATTGTTATTGTTTCAGGGCTGCGTACGGGCCTAGCGGTTTGTTTAATGAGTTAGACTAGGGTCCGAGGGCTGTTCCGTTCGGTGCTTTGTAGGGCATGGTAGGGCCTAAATGTAGCTATGCTACGGGTGTCTGCAATTTGGTGGAGTCAGAAAAGGTCGTACTAGTTGTTGGGGTGTTGTGGTTTTGGGGCCTAAGGCTTCGTGGGCACTTGCTGCGACTCTACTGTTTCAGGGTTGAGGGGCTGCAGACCCATCGCTAAAATCCTGCATCGGAGCTTCCTGACTCTTGCGTGGGCCGTCGGAGTTCTTGGGGGTCTTGGGATTTGAGTCTATAAACAGAAATTTAAGTTGTAAGGTTTGCAGTTTGAGGTTTTGGGGTGTAGAGTTTGGGAGGGCTGACAGAGTCCCTGCATGCCTACCTCGCCTTCTCTGGCGACGGTAAGTTGGTTGCTGGCATGCCGTCGTGATGAATTTGCTCCACCTTGCAGTTGCACCGTAACTCTCCGCCCCTTTTCGCAAAAGTGGCCATCGTGCAGGGCGGCCTTGTACCCGAGTTTTTTGGGGGCACACCTCACTGTGTACAAACAGCTACATCAAGCCCTGAGTCGTCAGCCTTTGCCCGAACCACTCCATCGCAACCCCGCTCCGAGCTTCGATGAGATTTAGCAGTCTTTTGGTGTGTAAGACAGCCCTAACTCGAAAGCCCCCAACTCCCTACAGCCCCACTTCCCCAAAACCCCGTGCCTGATTCCAAAAGCCAGAGGACCTGACAACCTAACTCCAAACCCTAAGACGCCAAACCTTAAAGCACTGATCATTTTAGACCCGCTCACTGTCTCGCACAAGATTGCTCGTACTGCTCCTTGGGGTTCCCTAATGTGAGTATAGTTTTGTACAGCCCAAGACCCTCTTCTAGCTAGTAACTCCCCCCATGAACCCTCTCAAGCCCTATACAACATCCCATAACCCCTACAAAACTTCATCAAAACCCTGTAAACAAGACTTTAGGAGTAGGGCTGAGGGTTGGAGGCGGCTTGCGCCAAGAGCGACTTGCTCTGCCTCTGCAAGGCCGACTGCCAAGAGACTTGCCGCTTTGGGAAAGAATCAGAAGCGCCCTTTGTGGTCTTTTATAACAACACTAGAAGCCCCTTTTCGTGTCTCATTCAAAAGAGTGTGTTTATGAGCCACTAGAAGCCCCTTTTGGCAGCGTTTCGTTTGTTGTTGAGTTATTTTCAAGGTTTTTGCAACCTTCGGTCAAGGGGTTGAGGGCTTAGCATTTCAGGCTTTGGGATCTGCGCAGTTTGAGTTCTAATGACTCAGATGACAAACCTACGTCCTTGGGTCTTCGGGTTGTCCGGAACATCCTCGAAGAGGAGCCTCCTCTAAGAGGAACCTCAGATCCAAAAGCCCGCAGCAAGAAAGCGCTTGTGAGCCATACCGTGTAGGATTGAGTTGGGTTTAGGGTGTAGGATTACGCAATTAGGCGTATATAAGGGTTCTGCATTCAGGTTTAGAAAGCCCCTAGCTCAGGCCAGCATTTCAACATCACGGACATGGAGGTCGGCGCAGCGTGCGCGAAATGCATGACCTCGCAGTGTGCGAAGGAGCCTCTCCGGGAAAGCCGAGATGTTCGAACCGCCCGAAACCCAAGCCACAATCTTCACCCCTGCACATCCCACCCACACATCCTGAAACCCCAAACCCTCAAGACCGCATGCATTTCGGGGGAGTTTTGATGGTCTGAATGCTTCGGGTCGTCCAAGCGTCGATGAGGATTCAGGGTGCATGGCTTTCGGATTCGATTCTTAAGGGGCAGTCGGGCTTCTGTTTGCCCCGCCAAACCTCAAACATCAACTGGTAAGTCCTAAACCTGAAACCTTAAACCCGAAACGAACCCAAAACTCGAACCTTCACTCACGGCCTTCGGTAGCAGCAGATGTGTAGGAGGCTGAGAAGGTTTGAGTCAGGGGCTTCTGCCCCGGGGCTACCTGCAAAAATGGGTGAGAATTCTCAAGCTGATCAAGGTCAAGAGAGTGAGACCAGAATTTTGGCGGTGTTTATTTTGACAATTTTTGGAACCTTCAGGAAGAGAGGTGCTTATTATTCAGGCCACAACATTCTGCTTGTGGCGCCTTGCAGATACAGCTACAAAGGCCTGTGACCCGGTCCTTTTCTTCTGACTCGGAGTATATGGTTTGTGGATCTCAAGCTGGCCAAAAGGCGGGCCGAATAGATTTGAAGGTTTCTGGTTGTTTGGAGGTCGTTTTCGCCACTGTTTTGAAGATAAGGTCCCGAGTGTTTTGGGCTCCCTAATCTTATCTCTGTGACTCAAAGTCTCGCATTTGGGGGTTCAATCGAGGGTTGCTTTGGGGCCAGGCCCCAGGACCGTTGAGCTCCTTGAACTTCAAGAACTCTCACATTCAGCAAAAGAGCTCCTAAGAGAGCAAAAAGAGCTCACCCGTAAAGTCCAAACCATGGACCGTTCAACCTCAAGTCCCGAGCAAAAGCCCAGGAGGCCAAGGCCATGTGCCCCCAGGAGAGCCGTCAGTTCACTTTCTGTCTGGGGTTTCAGTGTAGGGTTGAGGAGTTTCGAGTTTGGGATTCGTGAGTTTCGGGGTTGGGGTGCAGTGTAGGCCTTCTTTGCCTTGCCTGGCTGGTTGTGAGTAATTCCATGAAAATCTGGGCCGTTGGAGGTTTGCAGGCTTAGAGATTTTGTCATTCATAGATGCTTTTCTCGGTTTTCGATCACAGGCACTTGGGGCTAGGTTCTTCGAGGACTACAAGGATTTACAACGCAGAATCGATCGAAAGGTTTTGTGTCTCGGGTATTTTTGTTTACGTACGTGCAGGTGTTTGGATTATGCGGTCTTGCGTGCGACACGCGAGGCACGTCCAGGATGCTGGTTGTAACAAACATGGAAGGGGCGCTGACGAGAGCCTTTACCCCAGACTCTTGGACCCCAAACTCCGAACCCTAAACAGCTAAAGCCTACTCTGCTGATCCCCTCTCCATCGACACCCTGAGACATGTAGCCGAACCTGTTCCGAGACGAGACTCCCAACAAGCAGTTCTGCGTTGTGCATAACCAATAGTGAAACCTTGGTCGATAAAGGCATTTCTAGATAAGGACTGCAATTTTGGTAAAAGTCCGGTTAGGGTTTAGGATCTAGAGGCAACTGGCCTGTCAAGGATTCCGTGTCGATCTGCCACAACTGCATCACGGATCCTCGGTAGCACCGAAAAGGCTTGAGGAGTCGCAGTCGTCGTCGTAGTCGTCGTCGTAATAGAAGTAGTAGTCGTAGTCGTAGTCGTAGTCGTAGTCGTAGCCGTAGTCGTAGCCGTAGTCGTAGTAGTAGTAGTAGCAGCAGCAGCAGCAGCAGCAGCAGTAGCAGTAGCAGTAGCGGTAGCAGTAGCAGAAGCAGTAGTAGTAGTAGGTAGTAGTAGTAGTAGTAGTAGTAGTAGTAGTAGTAGCAGTAGTAGTAGTAGTAGTAGTAGTAGTAGCAGTAGTAGTAGCAGCAGCAGCAACAGCAGCAGCAGCGGCAGCAGCAGTAGCAGTAGTAGTAGTGGTTGTAGCAACAGAAGTCGTCGTCGCAGTCGTCGTCGTAGTCGTAGTCGCAGTGGCAGTCGTAATCGTAGT